ATAATTAATATTAACTCAGTGGGGAGGGAGTGGCAACTGCTATAGAATGATAATAGGAAAGGATAGTAGGATAGTAGGAAATTATTGAAATTACTGAAGACATGTAAGATGATAGGGTCATTTTGTCAAGAAAAAAAATCATCTGCAGTACCAGAGAGGTATGAAATACCTTGGTATGTTTTAAGAAGAGTATTTAAGTGCTTTGAGAAGTGGTGGCTCGTGTTTAAGGGGCTCCAGGAAGAGGGTCTGGTATATGATACCAGTGAGGTCAGTCAGAGAGTTAGAAGCAGAACTGGGGAAAAAATCACCTCGTAGAAGTTCAGGGAGAGGAGAGCTGTAAGAATGACAGTCCAGTTAACAGTACTTGCTACCACAGGTGGTCAGGCAGAGGACCAAGTGGCTTCATTAAGAAGGGACCATTGAACCATCTCATTTGTTAGCAGGTAAATTCTGTAAGTCTAGAAAGGGATCAGAACAAGAAGCCTAACGTCAGAGGAAGAAGGTTCTTTGAAGCTCTAGGTTGATCAAAGATTCACTCTGATGATGTTTAGATCCAAAAAAAAGCAAGAAACATGTTTCCTAAATAAACAGGAAAGGAGGATAAAGTTTAATTTGTAACAATCTTTAAGTTTCTCATATTTGTCTAGCTAAAATTTCATTTATTTTTAAAGTCTTCAAAGTAGTTTCCCAAAATATGTATGTTTGTTTTGTCAAAGGGTCAGAAATGTACAAGCTGTTACTTTACGTAAAATAACAGGTATTGGTTGTAGGTACTAATGCAAAAATAACTCTCTAAAACACTCATGTTGTTTAACTAAATTGAATTAGAGCCCCTCTAATCTCCTAGTGATTTAGTAACTATCTGTTTAGATTAGTTTGTGTTTTAAAAAAAAAATGTTTCCTGTTACGGCTATAATATTAATTGAATAAGAAGTTACATGACTGCTATATCATACACACATGACTTTTTTCTAGCAAGTAGACAGGATTCACTGTATATTTCATTGAATCTAAGATCCCATTGAGTATAAATTGAACCATTATCTTATATAAACCCTACCATAAGTTACAACATGTAATTGTAAGAAGTATTCAGATTTCGCAGATACTAAAATGCAAAAAAATATACATTTTTGAATAATATATGATTATTAAAACATTAGAAATAAATTTTTGGTTTATATTTGCAGATTAATTTAGGAGCAACAAAAATTGCTCCAATGAATAAAATCTAAATTACAAATGTAGTATTAAATACAAAACTATAGAAAGATTAACAGGAGTAGTCATTAAATTTTAAAACTAGGGAGGTACTGGGTGGCTCAGTTGGTTAAGTGACTGCCTTCAGCTCAGGTCATGATCCCAGGATCCTAGGATTAAGTCCCACATCATGCTCCTTGCTCAGTGGGAAGCCTGCTTGTGCTCTTTCTCTCTCTGTCAAATAAATAAAATTTTTAAGAAATAATTTTTTTAAGATTTTATTTATTTGAGAGAGAGAGAGAGCATGAGAGGGGAGAAGGTCAGAGGGAGAAGCTGACTCCCTGTGGAGCTGGGAGCCTGATGTGGGACTTGATCCCAGGACTCAGGGATCGTGACCTGAGCTGAAGGCAGTCGCTTAATCAACTTAGCCACCCAGCACCCCGACCCCCGCCCAAATTTTAAAACTAGGAAGGTCCTTAGGGCTGCCAAAGATGTTAATAAATGAGCATTCATTTAATATATGCTTTGAAACCTATCATAAGCCAGACATTGTTAGTTGTTGGATATAGAATGATGGATAAAACACTGGCCCCTGCCTTCATGGAATTTATAGTTTATGGTGGGGAAATAAGTTTGCAAATTGCAGTGAGCACTTTAAAGGAAAAGTACAATGGTGTGAAGGAATGGAACTCCAGATTCCTAACTGAGATTGAGACCATCTCTGAGGTATAGAAGAAAAGTTAAAAAGTCAGTAGAAATGAACAAAGTGAAAAGTAGACAAGAAGCAGTCTGTGCAAAAGTCTTGAGCAGGAGAGATGTTGGAGTTTTTCAGGCAGTGAAAGAAACACAAGGAGCCAGGTGGAGGTCTAGGTTACTTCAGTTGAGGTAAGACCAAATGATGCATGGCCACATAGGACCTGTTAAACATTTTGAATTTTAGTCCAACCCAGAGGGATGCCTGGAGGGTTTTAATAGAGGAAGTAACCCTGGCTGCTCTGTAAAGCCTGGATTGGAGTAAGATTCAAAGTGAAGAAGCCTCCTTAGGAGTCTGTTCTTAGTACAGACCAGCTAAGTTGGCAATTTGACCTGGGGGTTTGGAGTAGAAGATAAATTTTCTTGCAGATAATATGCCAGTATCGCCAAAAATCTTAGTTTGTGTACTATTTGACCCAGCAATTCCATTTCACAGCATTTGTTGTGAAGAAATAATCCTGTATGAATGTACAAATTGAGGCACTAGTATGCATATCCCCTATTATTTATTAAGAAATTGGTTTAAGTGATTACAGTATTTTCAAACAAGCGTAAAGAAAAGAGGCAAATCATGCCAGCTTTAAGGAGGCCACATCATTCAATAAGATTTGTTTAGACAGGGAGAGTCTTCTTCATGTTTGGGTGCGTGCCAGGGAGAGAGACACTGAAAATACAGAATGGAGAAGAGATACTCATAAAACAAATTTGGGGGAGGAGAGACATTTAGGACCAAAGGGAAGATAAGCTCCTTTGTCCATGAGTGCAGGAGCTTCTGGGGTGAAAATGCACTGTGCTTCTGCAGTGTGTCTTATTTTTTGAGAACTAGCCTGGGAACCTAGCCACGCCTTGCAACATAGTTACTGGAGGGGAAAGTGTGTGCTTTTCAAACCAGAGAGTTGTAAGTGAATTTTTGGTATGCAGTCAGCCCATAAATTGGGTTCCCTGTAAATCCAAGCTTCCCTGGGTAAGTAGTAACTGAACAGGATGAAATTTTGGGAAAACATTTCTCTACTCTCCCTGCCTTCTTGTCCTTCCTTTGCCCTCCCTCGCCCAACTCCTCCTCTCCCATTCTCTTCTTTCCTTCTCCCTTTCCCCTTCCCTTCCTACCCTCTCGTCTTTTCCCACTCCTCTCCTCTCTCTACTCTTCCTCTTAGACACCCAAAAAGTTACATTTTATACATTCAGAGCAGGAAAAAGAGCCAGGCACTTCTAAGCAGATAAAAGAATCTCCTTCCGTCCATTCTTTACCTTTTTTCTTTACATATAGGCACTTTCTATTCAGGAGTTTTCTTAGACCTTTGTGGTGGAAATATTCTACTATATGCTCTTAATGCCCACTTGCAAGTTTCAAATGTTTTGTGCCCTCTACATTCCTAAAACTAGACCAGTCTCTCTATGCAGGAGTATTTAACTTGTTGATTTCCACTGCCCTCACAGAATTGATGCTTCAGGAAAACCAATTAACCATTTCCTTTCTAGTGCATATTTAATTTTTAGTAAGGTTTTTTTGCTGGTTCTCTGGAGATACTGATGCTCTATGTTTGTAATTAGCTGGAAAATTCCTAGAGGAGTTTGCATTTGACTTTTTAGTAAGCTTGCAGTTATCGTCTGTGGTATTTCCTTGAGTATTTCCTTTTCCAATCTGTAAAAAAAACACACAACTGTTCTGTAACTTTATAGAATATCCAAAATAGTTACTGAAATTAGCTTAGTATTTTTTAAGTTGTTACTTCTTTTTTTTTTTTAAGATTTTATTTATTTATCTGACAGAGATCACAAGCAGGCAGAGAGGCAGGCAGAGAGAGAGGAGGAAGCAGGCTCCCCGCTGAGCAGAGAGCCCAATGCGGGGCTCGATCCCAGGACCCTGAGATCATGACCTGAGCTGAAGGCAGCAGCTCAACCCACTGAGCCACCCAGGCGCCCCTAAGTTGTTACTTCTTCCAGAGCACAAATGCTTTAACTCTTTCCTTATGAATCAGGTTTTAAAATCCATGCATATGTGTTTTGCATTTGATATATATATCCTCATGTGGATATAAGTGTATCTGAAATTAGCAGATGATGGGGTGCCTGGGTGTCTCAGTTGGTTAAGCCTTCAGCTCAGGTCATGATCAAGCCCCACATTGGGCTCTCTGCCAGGCAGAGAGACTGCTTCTCCCTCTCCCTGTGCTGTGCTCCCCCTGCTTGTGCTCATTCTCTTTCTCTAAGGAATAAATAAAATCTTTAAAAAAAAAAAAAAGAAAGAAAGAAAGAAATTAGCAGGTGCTTTACCATTTAGGCTTTGTAAATTAGTTCTCAAAAGTTACTAGCTTCCAGATTATTTTGTTCTGATAACTCCACACTATATTATGGAGTAAAGGTCGGATGTTTGTACCAATTTTTACTTTTTATTTACAGAGTATCCCCAATGCTTTGATATGGAATTATTGTTGGGAGAATACAAATTTAATCACTTAGGCTTTGGACAAATATTGTGGGATCACAGAAGATGGGTTAGGTTACAGTTAGCTTATTAAATATTTATTGTTTTTCATAAAATGAGCATATCCACCAGATTCAGTCTATAAAGACTTAAATTATTGGAAAATGCTAGAATAAATTATTGGAAATCCTTAAATTACTGGAAATCCTAGAGTAGTAAAATACTCTTCTAAATCTCTGTTAAATACTTTAGGATGTGAGAGTGGTGCAACTGGAAACAATGCAGTGTTCATGAATGTGTTCGTTAATGCCACACTTAATGTCTTGGGATCCATTTTGTTAACTACCTGGGAACAAGGACTGCATTAATATTGTTAGTTGTCAGTACCTTCTAAATAGAACCTTTCTTTTTTAAAAGGCATTATTAAACTCACATTATCATGTGACATTGAACAAGAGTATATATGATTCACAGTGATACTTTCATACTTGGCTTAAATCATTGGGGGGGGTGGGTTAGCAGTTACCTTTTTAGCTACATGTCCAATGAAGGTATAAAATTCTATTTGTTCTTGGAAATTATTTTTTATATATTAATCTCATTCTTGTTTCTCCCTCCATTTCAGTCGTGAGATGGAGAGTAAAGAAACTCTCAAGGGCTTGCACAAGATGGACGATCGCCCAGAAGAACGAATGATCAGGGAGAAACTGAAGGCAACCTGTATGCCAGCCTGGAAGCATGAGTGGCTGGAAAGGAGAAACAGGAGAGGCCCTGTGGTAAGTGGCTGTGAGTTACCTGATGTAAGGAAGAAAGCATAGCAGCAGGAAGTGGGAAATGAAGCATAAATAGATCCTCTTGTAAGCTTTTTTTTCTTCTTGATTTTTAAATACAGTCGTTTCATTTGCTTGATATTCTAGCCACTTGGAACAAAATATACCTAGAACTATGCTCACTAAACACCTTAAACTGTTAAACTAAGCTGGTTGGGTTGGGGAGGTAATGCTTAAAGCAACACTGCCCCCTACTGTCAGTATCTAAAACCTTTTAGTAGAGACTTCTATTGCACTTCGGGAAAAAAAAAAGCTTTTTTTTTTTTTTTTTTTTTTTTTTTCCACATTTTATTTTGATATTCTTTCTCCGAGGTAGGATCCAAAGATCTGAGTCCCAGAAATCATTCAGGAAAGCAAAAAGTCTGAATAGATTCATGGGGTTTGAGGTAAATTTAAAAGATGTCCAGGGTTTGGGGAAAGAAAACTTAGCTAGCTAGGATTAGGAAAAAAAGGCATTCTCTATCCTTTGCCATGGTTATTTTCTTTTAAAGTATACAAATACTTTGAAATGTGTTCATCTTTCTTATAAAAAAAGTAGATCTTGATTTTTAAGTTTTCCAGTATCAGTTTGTATCAGCAGGTTTTTATTTGCTTTTTGTTTGTTCTTTGTAAGTAAAGACAAGATTTATTAGATTTGGGGGAGGGCAAAGGGATGGTGGGTATAATCATAAAAGTTACTGGGCAAGCTACTTATTTGACAATTGAAACCTTCTAGCTGTATGATCATCTAGCCCTACATTCATCCCACTTGCCCTTTTTTTTTTTTTTTTTAAGAGAGGATTAGAGAGGAGGTGGGAGGAGCAGAGGGAGAGGGAGAGAGAATCTTACACAGGCTTTATGCCCAGTGCAGAGCCCAACATGGGGCTCAATATCACAACTCTGAGATCATACCTGAGCTGAAATCAAGAGTTGGATGCTTAACCAGCTGAGCCACCCAGGTGTCCCCCACTTGCCTATTTAGTTTAAATTTAAATATAAATTAGTTAGGGGTGCCTGGGTGACTCAGTGGGCTAAAGCCTCTGCCTTCAGCTCAGGTCGTGATTCCAGGGTCCTGGGATCGAGCCCCGCATCGGGCTCTCTGCTTAGCGGGGAGCCTACTTTCTCCTCTCTCTCTCTCTCTGCCTGCCTCTCTGCCTGCTTGTCTGTCAAATAAATAAAATCTTTAAAAAAAATAAGATAAAATAAATAAATATAAATTAGTTAAATATAAATAAGTAAAAATTTTGTTCCTCAGCCACATTAGCCATGTTTCTAATGCTCAGTAGCCATACAGACTTCCCTCATCACTGAGCTGTGTTCTGTCTTGCACACTCTACCCAAGGGTGCTAACCCATGGAGCTAATATAGAATATATTTAATTGTTCCTTTATATACCAGCTTTTATGCTAAGCTACCATACTACCCATGAGTCCTTTCCTTTCCAGCTAAGCTTCCACATTCCTTTGATTTGTTTTTCATATGAAGTAGTATGGTGAGAACCCCTCACTGTTGCAGTAATCATGTCAGAGGATGCAAATGAAGAAATCGGGGATTCATCTTAGAAAAGAGAAAGTTCTGTTGAAAACATCTTATAGAAGGGGTAAATTTCTACCCAATTAATATAAAGAATCTTTGAGTAGTTTAAATCCATCTGAAGTTTGAATGTGCTTTCTGGAGCTCCTTGTGTTGATGGAGAGTCCAGATCTTTTGAGAATACCATAAAGCAGAAACAACTTTTTTGAAAAGCCAAAAAAGCCAATCCTTTATGACATATAAACTAAGGACAATCAGTTATCTAAGGCTGTTTTTTCTCACTGTCCCCTTTCCATCAAATTCCTGAGTACATTATCTGTGTATAGGACAGAGGTAAAGAGGGAAGAGATGTATGGAATAAGACATATGACTTACAGTCCTTAAATTCAGTTATGCTACCCTACATCTCACAGTTTACAGATTTGATATTAACCTTAAGAAGTTTATAGCCGGGGCGCCTGGGTGGCTCAGTGTGTTAAGCCTCTGCCTTTGGCTCAGGTCATGATCTCAGGGTCCTGGGATCGAGCCCCGCATCGAGCCCCACATTGGGCTCTATGCTCAGCAGGGAGCCTGCTTCCCCTTCTCTCTCTGCCTGCCTCTCTGCCTACTTGTGATCTCTCTCTCTGTCAAATAAATAAATAAAAATCTTTAAAAAAAAAAAAAGTTTATAGTCTACTTGGAGACTCTGCTTTTGTTTGTTTTTACTACGTTTATGTAGTTTAAATCAGGTCCTTCTTAAAATGTGAGGTATAAATATCTCCAATTATGAAAATGGAACTTAAAAATAAAGGCATGAAATATCACAGAACAGTATGTGACTGTATGCCAAATGTGTAGAGTGGGCAGAGAACAGTAACAACTTAGAAGAAAAATGTCAGGCTGACAAAGTTAAGTGCACATCTGTAAAAGGTAGGATTTTAACCGACCCTTAAAAGATGGGAGTTTTGGGATGCCCGGGTGGCTCAGTTGTTACACATCTGCCTTCGGCTTGGGTCATGATCCCAGGGTCCCGGGATCGAGTCCCACATTGGGCTCCCTGCTCAGAGGGGAGTTTGCTTCTACCTCTCCCACTCTCCCTGCTTGTGTTCCGTCTCTGGCTGTGTCTCCTCTATTAAATAAAATAAAATCTTAAAAAAAAAAAAAAAAAAAAAGATGGGAGTTTTTACCAGGTGAAGGTATGCTGCCTGGTGTGCTACAGGCTGGAGATGTGATTAGCAGGGAGAGTACAGGAAGATGACAGGTTAGTCATGTTTGGTAGGCACATCAGCAGGCTAGTAGAATAAAACAGTAGTGGGAGAAAGGCAGGGAAGATTGGCTAAGGTTACAGGGTTTGGCCTTCTGGTCAGAGGTAGATTAGGTCTGTTGAGAAACAACAGGTCTTGCAAGCCTTTCTACTTGAGACATTGCTTTTTAAATGTGTAGTTTCCTTTGATGATTTTGAAATACATGTCTAAACTACTGTAATAAAACACTGTATAAAAAAAGGCAAAATGGTTTTATATTAATCAAACTATTTGGGCATTTAAATTATGCCCATTATTGTTTTCAAGATCCTGCATTTTCTCAATAGAAATGAAAAAGAAAACATCTCCTTGAATCTAGTTGAATAAATTAACTGTAGAAGGTAAAAGTGCTTATTTTTCACGTTTGTTTACTAACCTATGATTATTGATTTTGAGTGTTAAGTGATTTAGGGGACATAATAACAGATAATACTAAATTCTAAAATTATATGTAACATTTTAACTAGTGATAAAGCTTAAATGAATGAAATCTGTGGGTAAAAATAGTCTTAACATTTATTGTTTGAAGTAATACTAAATAAAAGTTGATAAATTGTTATATTTGTATAACATTGTGTAATGAAAACTTGAGTTCATTTTTTGGTCTGTTGTGTTTAAATTTACTTAGTTTTTTATATTGTTAAGTAATCAGAATATTGGAATTTTAATTTAGGTGGTAAAACCAATCCCTATTAAAGGAGATGGTTCTGAAATTCATAACTTGGCAACTGAGTCACAAGGAGAGGGCCAGGCGAGCACCACGTCACCCGCTCCCAAAGGCCGACGTAGTCCTTCTCCTGGCAGCTCCCCATCGGGTCGCTCAGTGAAGTCGGAATCTCCAGGAGTTCGGAGAAAAAGAGTTTCCCCAGTGCCTGTAAGTTAATGTTTCAACAAGTATATTAAGTTTCTATAATTTTTTTGATACATTTATAACACAGAAAAGATTGGCTAGCCATCTGTTACAGCAACATTTCTCCAAGTGTAGTCCACAGACCCTTGGTTGGGGGAAGAGCACAGGTCCTGAGACCTTTTCTGTGGATCCATTAGATCAAAACAAATTTTGTAATAAAACTAAGATCTCACTTGCCTCTTTAACTGCATAAACATTTACAGTGGTGGGTAAAGCTGATGCATTCACCTAAATTAGGGCTATGACAACAGGAATCGGGGTATTTTTGGCAGACATTTTCCTTAAGACAAGTTAAGTGAAGGAAGGAACTTCAAGAAAGAAAATTGAAGTGTTTTTTCACCAGGAGTTTAGAATTTTGGGAAACTCATATCCACCACTATAAACTTGACAGTTTCCCAGTACTTGAATTTTCTAACAAGATTGGTGATGTTTCCAAATGTGACCTTTTTTTTAATGTATTGCACAACGAAATGCGTAAACATTTAGGAAATCTGTATAACTTGGTGAACCAGTATTTTCTTAATGACCAATGCATGATGAAACAAAATCATCCTTAGGTAAATGATCCATTCAAATTGTGAAAGATAGACCATCTGGATTTTCATGTGTAACAGTAGGAAAAGTTTGTTGATGTGGTTTCAGATTTCATATCACAGTCTTGGGACTAGTATCAAAGAAGAGTGTTCATAATTATTGGAAGAGTCTTTTAAAATACCTTTTCCAGCTGCATATATTAGTGAAGCCACATTTTCTTCATGTACTTTAACCAAAACGTCATTATCACAGCAGACTCAGTGCAGAAGTATGGATGAGAATCCAGCTGTCTTCTATATTAAATCAGACATTAGAGAGATTTGCAAAATGTAGGTGCTAACTTTCTGAGAGAGAGAGAAAGACTTCTAGTGGCAGAAATGCAAGTTAAAATTTACTTTCTGAACTTGAAGAGCAAAGAGCAAATGAGTGGGTGGTAGAATGACTAAGATCATGACCACAGGGGGGAATCTGGTTTTCCTCTGGTCAGCATATAAATCCTTCCAAAAGTAAATTTTAAGTAAATTTTTTTACATTAAAGTCCAAACTACCTAACAGTATTTATTGGCTCTATGTTGACACATCTTTAAATGAGCCATTATTTTTATTTATTTATTTTTTAAAGATTTTATTTATTTACTTGACAGACAGAGATCACAAGTAGGCAGAGAGGCAGGCAGAGAGAGGAGGAAGCAGGCTCCCTGCTGAGCAGAGAGCCCGATGCGGGGCTCGATCCTAGGACCCTGAGATCATGACCTGAGCTGAAGGCAGAGGCTTTAACCCACTGAACCACCCAAGCACCCCCAAGCCATTATTTTTAAACTTAAAACAAGAACAGTCTTGTTTTTGCTCATGTAAATTAGGCAGGGCTCAGCAAGAATGACTTATGTCTGTTCCTCATGGTATCTGCTGAAGCTGGAATATCCAAGATGCTTCCTCACTCGTGTGTCTGGTGCTTCAGCTGGGATACCAGAACAGTTGGAGGCTGTTGGCATCTCTTCCTCATAGCATGGAAGTTAGGTTGCAACACCAAGTTTTGCAGACTAGGAGAGAGCATGGAACAGATTCTCTGTCCTCAGAGGAAACCCTGCTGACACACCTGTTCTTGGACTTCTAGCCTCTGGAACTATAAGACCAAAAAAAAAAAAAAAGTGTATCAAGAGGGCAAGTCCAGTGTGGAAGCTTTTATCAAACTGCCTTGTTTCCTAATGCCTTATTGCCCAAAGGTAGTTACATGCTAGTTGCATATCCAGAATCAGTGTGGTGGGGGACTACACAAGAGTGTAAATACAGGGAGGTATGGTTTATAGGGGACATCAAAGTATAAAAGTCTACCACAAGTATATACAGAATTGCATTTCTTCTTCACTCCCCCACTTTAGGATATATGTTAGTCAAAATTACCTCTTGTTCTTTTTAACACCAAGTTTAGCATTTCACTATCTGGATAGATCATACTTTATTTAATAACTGCATACTAATTAATGGACATGTATATTCCTTGTTTTCATTACTAAAAAAAAAACAGTCCTGCAAACATACTTTTTATGCATATGGCATTTTACACATCTGTGAGCATATCCATAGTCTGAATACTTAGGTCATATAGCATATACATGTGTACTTGTTTTTTCTTTTACTTTTTATTAACTGCCTACTAAAAAAGTAATGGCTGGATTGAGATATAATTCCTATACTGTACAATTCACCTGTTTAAATTGTACTATTCATTGGGTTTTGGTCTATTCAGAGTTGTAGCCATCACTATAGTCAACTTTAAAACATTTCCATCACCCCAAAAAGAAACCGCAGACCAATTAGCAGTCTCTGCCCAGCCCTTGGCAACTATTAATCTGCTTTCTTAGTCTATATATAATTCGCCTGTTCTAGTTATTTCATAAACAGTAAATGGAATCATTCAGTATATGTGGTTTTTTTTTTTTTTATTGGTTCTGTCACCTATCATCATGTTTTTGAGGTTCATCCATAGTATAACTTGTACCAGTACCCCATTTTGGGTTTTTTTTTGGTTTTTGTTTTTCCCCCCACAAAATATGTTTATCAATGTGTGGGTTGATTTTTGCCACATACATACATATTTTAACATAAAAATATTAGCTATACCATATTCATGGGGGTTTTTTGTTTGTTTAACATTCAAAACTTAATTTCCAATTGACCCAATTCTCTGTAATTCTGTTTGAAGGTATTTCATTTTTAACTATAGAATAATAGTCTTTTGTATGGATAAACACATTATCCATTTGTTAGTTGCTGGATTTCTGGGTTGTTTCCACTCTTTGGTTATTACGAATAATGCTGTTTGGAACACTTGTGTACAGATCTCTTTGTATCTTTTCACCTCTCTTGGGTTTATACCTGAAGGTGGAATTGCTGGCTTATGTTTTGCAAAGCAGCTGTACCATTTTATTTTCCCACCAGCACTGTATGAGGGTTCTAATCCCTCATGTTCTCACTAACATTTATTATCTTTAGCAATTAAACGAGGCATCAAAAAGGACTAGAATTCCCCCTGGGCATTGATGTAGAAAGTCCAAGTTCTAGGGGAATCAGTGGAGTGGAATGAGTGATATATATCACCTTCACCACAGGAGATTTTGTCTGCCTTCAGTGAAATGTCTTAATCTGGGGAAAGTCACTTACTAGTTCTCTACAGAATATACGGGAGGAATTCCATGGTAGTTATAAATTACCAGTTGCAAAGAACATTTAGTAACATGTTAAGTGGAAGCCAGGAAATTGGATGTTTAATTTTTATCACTAGAAACAATTCATTTTGCTTGCTTATGGATGAATTTTTATGCTTTTAATCTTGGTTTACCTGATACTTTTCAAAGAACTCAAATATTTACATTTGGTAAAATTACCACATAGTTGTCTCATTTGGCCAAATATTTGTCATTAGTTATAAGGATGACTGAGATTTTAGAAGTTTACTGGTGATGCATAGGTCAGATAAGCATTTGCAAAACACATTTTGTCCCATTATATTTTGGAGCATTTTTTCAGAATACAAAATGCCACGTGGCCATATCTGGTATGACCCTTTTGGAGGTCATTGATTCTTATCAAGAAGTAAGTAATATAACTAACACAAAAACAACGTTGTGAAGTTTCAGAGTGGGCGAATCACACCACCTCGAAGAGCCCCTTCACCAGATGGCTTCTCACCATATAGCCCTGAGGAGACAAACCGCCGTGTAAACAAAGTTATGCGGGCCAGGCTGTACTTACTGCAACAAATAGGACCCAACTCTTTCCTGATTGGAGGAGACAGCCCAGACAACAAATACCGGGTGTTTATCGGGCCTCAGGTAGGATTTTTCACCATTTTATATTTTATTAGTATCTGGTATTAACTCAAATGTATGTACTATAACAGTTTAAATTTAGATGAATTAATTCTCTTTAGTTAACTAAAGTGAATTTAAAATATATTTTGGGCTAATAAACATTTTTATTTGATGTATTTGTGAAGGTCTCTAGTATGACTTAATATACTTTAGACCACAAATCTGATTTAATAAATTCACCAAAAATAAGAGATTAAGTCATAGTGTAGACTTTTCTTACATATTCTTATATACTTTACTATGTAAGAATAATGAAGCAAATTAACAGAAACATTGTTGTACTTGGAAATTAAAAAAAAGTGATCATCTTAGGAATTCTAATGGGACCACAAATTTATTACCGATAAATTCTCTTGTAACTCTTTAGAACTGCAGCTGTGGCCGTGGAACTTTTTGTATTCATCTGTTGTTTGTTATGCTCCGGGTGTTTCAACTAGAACCTTCAGACCCAATGTTATGGAGAAAAACTTTAAAGAATTTTGAGGTAATTTTTAATAAATGCTTTAGAGTAAAACTGCTAACAATTTTTTATGGCTTATTCCTGACAATTTCCCGTGAGCTATAAATTTAAAGAGACGTTTTGAAGGTGTGAAGACATTTAAGAATTATTTGAGACTTATCTCTTATAATTCATTGACTAGTTTTTTCTTCCAGATTGAAAAGAAAGTAAACACTGACATGTTATAATAAATATTGTCTTTAGTAAGCTATGTATGTTCTTATTTTTGAAGCTCTTAAGATTGGCTTTGTGAAAAATTTATGAAATAAAAGACAATGGAACCTCTAGAACTCTTTATATGTATGTTATAGTGTGAATATCATTGTTACTGTCTTTTTTATGTTAGGTTGAAAGTTTGTTCCAGAAATATCACAGTAGGCGTAGCTCAAGGATCAAAGCTCCATCTCGTAACACCATCCAGAAGTTTGTTTCACGCATGTCAAATTCTCATACATTGTCATCATCTAGTACTTCTACATCTAGTTCAGAAAACAGGTTAGTACAATTTAAGGAATGAAAAGCATTAATCCAGTGTTACTTTTTAATTATAGGGGTAATTTTTTGTATTTACTTGTTAAGTTGCTCTAAAATAATTGCTGAATCTTGGCTTTGAAGTTAAAATCAAGGGTAAACAATATTTAAAGGTCATCTGAGTATTTGTGTGTATACATACATATATACATACATATATATATATAGACTTTGTATTCTGAAAAACTACGCTGTTGAAAAATGGCACCATAAAAATCAGAATAGGCACTTCATAAGAAAAATCAGGTGGCAAGTATAAAATGTAAGTGGCTACTGTTTATCAATCATTACTTTTTGCCAAGCACCTAATATGGTTTCTCATTCTGTTCTTATACAAACCTCATTACATGGTTTTACCACTCTTTGGCAGTCAGTAAAGTTGAGCTACTGTGTAAAAAATATGTCTTTAGTTCTTTTATAAACAAATTATATACAAGCCAAAGTGGTTTTCCAAAATCAGTTTCCCATGTAGTACCTTAAATTGTATGACATCACTACTTCTTTCATAGATACTTTCACAGAATCCTCATTACAGGCTGTTTTATGTGTGAGAACACAAGGATGCTCTTCTAAACAGATTAATCATTTGTAATTAAGTGATACAGTAGCTGTTAATCACAGGTATTTAAAATCTACAGTGCTTCTCAAACTCTTCCATTGACTAGCTGCTACTAAGAATGAACACGTAATGCTGAGAATCTGAAATAAGCCCAAAATGACAGGTGTGAAAAAATTTTCAATTCTCATCTGAATTTTCTTTCTTTTCTAAGTTCTTTATTGGATTCCTTCATTGGTTCCTTCACTGGTAAAAATGAGTTTTTAAAATTACTCCAGAAAAGGAATGCTGCTTCTCTTAAAAGGGCACCTCCTATATGTTCCCGAGGCGCCTGTTTGAGAAGCAGTTGTCTTAGTGATTAAGTCCCATCTTCATATCAGCAATTTTTTTAAGTATTATTACTACTTCAAAATTGATGAAGAATGGAAAGTAATGAGGTCAGGGATTTGTAAAGAAAAGAATGGATAGATATATGGGAAAAGTAAATGTTTAAATTTTCTTATTTTTTATTAAATGAATTGATTTTAGAATTGCAGAGTTTTACAAGTTTTGGGGGGAATTAGAGATTTCTAGTTTACATGGTTTAGTGATAACTGAAACCAAAAGAGGTCATGCAGCTCAGCCGAGCAAAGGAAGAACCAGAACCTCAATATCTTGACTTCTAGTTCAGGGCTCTTTCTCTTACTCCTTATCCCTTGTAAATAGATGAAAAAGTGAGCTTTATTTCTTGAGCTTCATGACCCAAACTTATTCTGGAACCCTCCTCCTTTTGATTCACATTGCTATAGCTTTTTGCTTTGGAAAAGAAAAAAAAAAAATGTTTAAAACCAGGTAGCCAAAGTTAAAATAGAAAGTTTCTCTCTAAAATAAATGAAGGTAACTTCCAAATATGGACTGGCCATAATATGGAGGTTTTATTTATTCACTTGGATTAATATATATATGGGGGGGAACCACTGAAGCTGTCATCTTGATATACTGACATTATACTGTATAGGTAGGTAGGTTAATGTTTCATGTAACCACAAATTTTTATATGTAAAGACTACAATAAAAAAAAAACAAACAGGAAATCTGTCTGGAGACCTGATTGCATTGTATTAATTTTAAATTATATAAGAAACAACAAAAGCCAGAATTAGGACAAAGTGAACCTAAGGTCTTAGTACATAAATGGGCAAAGGGCGTGAAGAGAACATTCACAAAAAAATTTCAAGAAGCTAACATACTAAGGAAATGGTCATTAAAAAAAAGATTTATTTATATATTTGTATAGATATTTAGATATTTATATAGATTTATTTAGATAATTTTTCAGACAGTTCAGTTCTTGTATAAGGATTTGCTTCACCATATGTCAAGTTCTGTAGCCCTCTGGAAAAAAATGTGTTTTTTTAAAAAACGTTTATATTTGTTGATGTAGTAAATGTATTTTTTTTGACAAAAAATTTTAATCTGAGAAATGCACAAGATTTATATATATAACCCTGTCACAGTATTATGGAAAAAATTGAGAGCAGCTTAAATATCCAGCCGGGGAATGGTTAAAGTATACCCATATTAGGAATAGTTCATGCAGCAGCTATTAAAATTATGCTTCTGGGGTGCCTGGGTGGCTCAGCTGGCTAAGCATCCAACTCTTGATTTCAGCACAGATCATGATCTCAGGATTGTGAGACTGAGCCTGGTCTCCGGCTCTGAGTTTATCAGGGAGTCTGCTTCAGATTCTTTCCAGTTTTTTGCCCCTTTCCCCTGTTGTCGCTTGCTGTCTTGTGCTCTCTCTCAAATAAATAAATCTTTAAAAAAAATTATGGGGACACCTGGGTGGCTCAGTCAGTTAAACGTCTGCCTTCCACTCAGGAGATCATGATCCCGGGGTCCTGGGATCGAGTCCCACATCGGACTTCTGTCTGTTGGGAGCCTTTTTCTCCCTCTGTCTGCTGCACCTCCTGCTTGCTCGCTCTCTATCTCTCTCTCTCTAAGTATTTAAAAAAAAATTTTTTTTTTTTAAATTATGTAGTCTGAAGAATACTGAATGGCATGAAACCAAATTCAGGTTATATAATACTGTATGTCATGCCTGAATCTAATTTTTATATATAAAGGTATTGTGGGTATATACATAATGAGTAAGAATTTTAATGGTTATTAACAGGTGGCATTATTATGGGTGACTTTAAATACTTCGGGCTTTAAGGTTCATCACCTTGTAGCTGAAATAGCCATACAGGATAAATGAATAAATGGGTATGGCTGTGTTCTGGTAAAACTTTATTTACAAAAGTTGGTACAGGCTAATGTGATCCCCTTGTAGTATGCTAATACCTGCTCTCTATTCAAGTGACTTTACTTCTGAGAAAACTATGGTAAAAAGAAAATGTATAATGTAGAAGTGGGCACAAAAATATTTCTGCTGGTTTCTTAAAAGGTGAAAATAGAGAAACAATTCATACCCAGCAATAAAAGGATGCTGAAGTCAGAAAAGCATTTGAGGGGTGCCTGAGTGGCTTAGTTGTTAAGTGTCTGCCTGCGGCTCAGGTCATGATCCCAGGGTCTGGAATCCAGCCCCACATCGCATCGGTCTCCCTGCTCAGTAGGAGGCCTGCTTCTCCCTCTCCCACTCCTGCTTGTGTTCCCTCTCTTGCTGTCTCTTTCTCTGTCGAATAAATAAATAAAGTCTTTAAAAAAAAAAAAAACTTTGAAAAAAAAGAAAAGTATTTGAGTGATAAGTTATACTTGCAATTGGACTAAATTGTGGAATTTTATTTTTTTCTTCTAAGTCATTTGAATAAGCTATTTTTGGTGTAATTTGAAAGTTACTTGACCTGGGATTATCTCTGCCATTCATGTGTTTATTATAGATTGTTGTACAAGTAATTTCTGCCATGTATCTGTTCATTTTTATCATTACCACATACATACATACATTACCACATACATATATTACCACATACCACATACATTGACAGCACTTCCCCATTCCACATAGCTCCATAATTATGAAAAGAGATAAAGAGAAGGGGCAAATAATCAGGAGGAAAAGAGACTAGTATGTGTGCCTTCACCTCAGGAATCATGCATCATGACTTTGTTGCACCTGTTCGTTCAGCTTTTATGAAAGTTTTTTAAGCAAACTGTTACTTTGCTGTCTGTCATCCAGACTGTTTTTCAGGAACTATAGCTTAAGGTTGTAGAAATGTAGTATCAGGCCCAGAGAAAAGCCTAAGCTTAGTAGAGACTCGAATTTGTTGGAGTAGGCAGAATATGAACTATTCTCCTCAAATTAAAGCATAGCACAAACTGACTTTAATGGTCTTTGGCAGCTTATTTAACATCTCAGAACCTAGTCTGTGTACTGTAATGGAAATAATATTGATTTTTAAAAGCCACTCGTGACATCATGAAGGTTCAACAAAAATTTATAAAATACAAAACAAAACCCCTCTCTCCAGTCTGAGCTACATACAAAATAACTAATGTTAACAGTTTAATACAACTTTTAAAAACTGAAATAAAACTCTCCCCTGCATTGTTTTTTTATATACATACACACACTCCTTAGTACTTCTCTCATCTTTGTTTTTTAAACAAATATAAATTTCATGCTTTAAATTTTGATCTGAAACTTTTTTTTTTTTTAATTTTAGACACCAGGATGATTTTCCTGAGTCAGTACAAAAATACACACTACTTTCTTTTTATGGCTGTATAAGATAATGTAGATAGGACACAATTTATTTTGCCATTGCCGTAATTAATGGACATTTAGTACACCCAGCTTTTTTCCTATTAAATGCAATACATTTGCTTTGTTTATATATTCCAAATAACTCTGTAGGACAGCATCCTAGAAAATAGTTTTTTTAGGTCATGCATATGTACATTAAGTAGTTTAAGAAATATTAGCACATTCCCTTTCAAAAATTTCAGTTTTTACTCCCACCAGTAGTATATATGAGAACTTGTTTTCCTATGCCAAAATGAAGGCCAGATGTTACTAACTTATAGAATTTGTGTCAACCAGATTATTTTAAAAAAGGATACAGTTTCATTAATATGCATTTGTAATTCAATTTTCATACTTAATTGGCTATTGGTGTTTTTCATTTCAATTGCTTTTTTATCTTCTTTGCCCATTTTACTATTGAATTACTAGTATTTTTCTTACTGATTTTTAAAAGCACTTTGTGTAGTAAGAGTGTTCGAATATATACGGTATACTTCAAATATACACAATAAAGTTGCAATTTTGCCATATATTGAAATTGTTCTATACAAATTAGAATTCTGTCATGCTTTTTTCCCCCACCATATAGTATATTGTGGATGTTTTTGTCATTATTTATGAATGTCTTAGATCCTTTTTTTTTTTTTTTTAAAGATTTTATTTATTTGTCAGAGAGAGGGAGGGAGAGCAAGCACAGGCAGACAGAATGGCAGGCAGAGGCAGAGGGAGAAGCAGGCTCCCTGCTGAGCAAGGAGCCCGATGTGGGACTCGATCCCAGGACGCTGGGATCATGACCTGAGCCGAAGGCAGCTGCTTAACCAACTGAGCCACCCAGGCGTCCCTGTCTTAGATCCTTTTTAAAAGCTTCACAGTGTGTGGTGTACTATTTTTTTTAACCTTTTGATGTTCATTTGGTTGATTTTTTCCTTTATGCTAAATAATACTGCAGTGAAGATCTACAGATATAGATACAGATATTATTGTCTATTTCCTTATGATACATTCCTGGAAGTCTAATTGAAGGGTTTTGCTTATTAACAATGTGACGTATGTTTTAGCTTAGTTTCTAGGAAAGTTGGACCAGTTTATAGACCCACAAAAAGCACCTGTGATGGGCCTTCAGACTTACATGGATAGATGAGCTCTAAGGTGCTTTTCAATAATTGAAATCTTGAATCTGTTGGCATATCACATTTCCATATAGTCAAACCTTATAGTAGTTGTTCAAAAAGTACAACTGCAGAATTTTGGGGCTACATAGGTCTCTAAGATTGTACTTCATATTTTGAATTGTATTCATAGCAAGGGAAGGTTAATGCATACCCATGATCTATAAATATTAGTGGTGTGACTCTTACTTAAAATTACTCTATAGTAATAGAAGAAATAAATATTTCTCAGATAGTTCTATAGATGTTCCTAACAAGAATTTCTAATAAATTTTTTTCATATCGTAAAGAATCCAAAATTGTTTTTAGCTGTGGTGTTAATTCTGCCTTATATTCTTTGGCATTTAATGCTTTCCTTTCTCCTTCCTCACAGTATAAAAGATGAGGAGGAACAGATGTGTCCTATTTGCTTGTTGGGCATGCTTGATGAAGAGAGTCTTACCGTGTGTGAAGATGGCTGCAGGAACAAGCTGCATCATCACTGCATGTCAATCTGTATGTGGCTCTTTTTCTCCCTGTGCCTACTCAGCACAGTTATTTTAGGAGTTAACTATATTCTTTAGGATTTTAACATGACTTTTGGGGAGACTGGGGAGAGAAGAAAAGAGGTATATCTAGGTCCTTATGTAAAGTTTTCAATGAAATGGAGTGAGGATCTCTTAGGACATGAGCTTTGTGAGCAAAGAAATGTAATATAGGGTGATACATGTAGTAATGGAAGGCATGCACAGGATTGAAAACATAATTCTTATCTGGAAAGTGTACGTGGAGGTGAGGAGGTAGAAGACCTGGGCAGGCATGACAGGGTAACATGAAAGCAAGTTTTGGAATGACTTTACGAGGTACTCAAGTGGGCAGAATGTTCTAAAAAACAGTTAGCAAAATACATGTTGTAACTTAAAAAAAAAAAAAAAAGCATATGTGAAAGGTACGTGCATCAGAATAATTTTACCTCTTGTGTTTGCCTGCTTCAGGTAAATACATCAAAGTATTTTTTGAGGTTCCTTCCTATAAACCTGTACTAACCATTAGCAGCAATTATTACATACGACTATTTAATGTTAAGTATTTATATTTTTTGAAGTTTTTTCCCTCTAATTTTTCAGGGGCAGAAGAATGTAGAAGAAATAGAGAACCTTTAATATGTCCCCTTTGTAGATCTAAGTGGAGATCTCATGATTTCTACAGGTAACAGTTTTTGAATTAATGATGTAGACATGTTTAATAAAAAATTTAAAATGTTCTGGAAGTGTTACTAAATTTTTTAACAAACTTTTGTTAATTTTTCATTTAGCCATGAGTTGTCAAGCCCTGTGGATTCCCCTTCTTCCCTGCGAGCTGCACAGCAAACCATACATCAGCAACCTTTGGCTGGATCCCAACGGAGGAATCAGGAGAGTAATTTTAACCTTACGCATTATGGAACTCAGCAGATTCCCCCTGCTTACAAAGATTTAGCTGAGCCATGGATTCAGGTAAATAGTTTTTATTCTTCATTTCTCAAATAAACCTTTATAGACCAATTAACGTAGCTATCTCCCAGTTGTTCTAATTTAAGAAAGTACTTTTGCTTGCCTCCATCATGACTGATAATTTGACTGAAAAATTTTACCTCTGGTATTAACACTCATCTGCTTATTAAAGAGTTTAAACTTCAAACATTATTGGAGTCTCACCTCCCATCTCTAGAAAAATCTCAGAACCATCAGACATCAGGATTATCTAAGGATAGAGGCTGGACTCCTTCAGTGCTAACTTGTTCAAATGTTTAATCCCATTTCTACAAAGAATTTTCTGTAATTTTTCTTTTTATGACCATTTAAACTCAGTTTCTCTTTTTTGTATCCTCATGGCATATAGTAGGTGCTTAATAATTGCTGAGAGGATGAATAAGAAAAAAAAATACAGCTTTTGCCTTATATTAGCCATTTTTATTTGAAAGGGCAGTTTCCATTTTTACTTTCTCTTCTGATGAAATCTTTTTTCTTACTCGGTAAATTAGAATTTCTGTTGGTTGGTTGGATTCTAGTGATTTTCTTTGTTGTTGTCTGCTTAGTCTATTATTTTTTATAAATGTAGAATCCCAAACTAAACAATGTCTCCAGTAGACAGTAGTGAAGTAAAATGTTTTCAATAAACTGTTAAATTCTTTTTAATACTATTAAATTTGTAAACAGACACACCGACTCATTCAGTTTCTGTGTCATTAGGATTTCCTTTTACTTTTTTTTTTTTTTTTTTTTAAGATTTTATTTATTTATTTGACAGAGAGAGATCACAAGTAGACGG